CCAAGGTATAAATCAATTTATGACGGTTCAATTATGATTTTGATTAAAAAGATCATAAACTTTACGGTCCCTGGACAATGGCCATATAAAGAAACAAATCAACCTGTTAGTTGGCTGCCACTCTTATTTAGTTAGCTATTTGTTGTTCTTGTTTATACTTTATTCCACTCACAAGTTGAAGATGTTTATTGGTGTCGGCGCGTTTATATAATTGTTGTTAAATGTTGTTGTACTAAACCAACATTAGTAGTACACACATTAGGGCGGGTCAATTTATATAGGAGATTTTTTTCGACTAAGCGCGTATAGCACAGACGGATTCTACGTGTAATTCTAAGCAAATTTGCCGGAGAAACCATGCGTTCAAAAACAATTTGGAGTTTGCCAAAACTATTTTGGGGGTGTTAAAAAGTGCTTAGTTGTTTTTTTGTTTCTGCGGCACAAACGATTATACTATCTATCCTGAGGAAAGCAGCCACAGTAATATGCTGAAATGATTCGCTTATTAGAATCGATTAAAAAATCTGATCGAGAAGTAGTAAATATTTCCATTTGTTTATACAAATTTTTATAAAAAAATAAAAATTTATACAAAATAATAATTATTTGAAAAATTGAAACAATCAGGTTAAAGCGTGTCTAATTAACTAATGCCATGAAAAAAGCAAGATACATGCTATGAATCAGTGGATAATAAATAATTATTGAATTCATAAAAAAAAGTTAATAACAATAACTCTTGAAAACTTCCAATTTTTCAAAATTGCTCAAATTATATATATATTTTTTGTATATGGTTTTAAACCGAATAAAGTGATTTGTGTCAAAAAATCTTGACCGTCCAGTTTTGGGTGGTCCACTTGAGAGATTTTCACTCAATTATAAAACTAGTTCATTTTGAGATAGTACACAACTTTTACTGCAGGCAATATACCCACTTGAGATATCATGAAATATTTATGTACTAAAGTAAGTATTTATGGTCTCACATTCTTGTCATTATGTATTTACACATACATATGTTCATATGGATATACTATATATGTATATACATATATATTTTTATATGGCTGTAGTTAGTAGATTTATCCCACTATCTCGCCATCGCCATCGCCATTTAATTGCATACGCCAGGCACTGACTTAAGTAGTCATTCTCTTGTCGAACAACATACAGAAATACGAGGGCCTAATTACGTATGTACATATTAAATACAAATGCATATACTTAAGTAAATATACATTGATATGTAGATATGTCATACTCCACGTTCATGGTAAATTTGTTGATTTTTGCGATGACTTTTAAAAACACCACTTCACAGCAAGCAGGCCGAGACTGGTTGGTGTTGTAGGCACCAATTGGCAGTGTTGAAAATGCAACGGCACAGTATGTAGCAGATCGTCAACGCGACTAGGGACGGACACTCGAGTAGGGAGCAAACGATCGGCGACAATCAGCAGCAGCCGTAAATAAAAAGGCAATAGTATATATATTTTTTTTTTTTGATTGATACTCGGCAGTTTGGTTCTATGGAGTAGCCTGCAGTGCCTTGCCTTGCCTTGCCTTGCCACATTGTGCCGCCGCGGAGTTCCAGTATAGTGTGGAGAGCTATAGAGCTATATAAGAAGCAAGTCAGCTGTGGTTTGTTTTTTTTTGCAGCATTTGTGTTCGAGTTATTGAACTTAAGTGCTGGTTGGATGGATGATTTATCTAGCTATGCACATTAGGGCGCAACACTCTCCGTACAAAAAAAAATTTAAATTTAATTTAATTTAATTTAAAAAAAAATCGACACCGTTTTTCCGTCGTAACTATACCATTTATTATATTTTAAGACTTTCGCCCAAATATTTCGAAAAAAATTTAATATTTACCTGAGCTGGATTTATTTGCAAATACCTTAAAAAAAAGAGATTTTTTTATAAAAAAAAATAGTTTTTAAAAATGTTTTTTCTAAAAAGCCACCTCAGATGGTAGAAGAGCTTAAGCTCAAAAGGTCTGCATAAAAATGTTTAAAATTTTTACCAAAGGCATAAAAAATTAGATTTTTTGAGGTACTTTGAAATTGGTCTAGCTCACGTAAATCTGAATATGTTTCCGAAATATTTTAGCGGAATTTTTAAAATATAAAATTTAATTTTTTTTTGGTGATGCACCCTAATGTACATATGTACATGCATAAGTATGTATGCTTACGCATATGTATGAAGGATTTCTTGCGTGATTGCAGGTTTGTTCGTTAGTTGGTTGATGAGTTTGCTTAGTAAGTCAATCGGTTAAAGAACGTTGAAGTGAGGCAAGCAGGCGTGCATGGTTTTTGGTGGGCAACACTTACATATACATATATGTGACTAAAAGCATACATAAAATTATAATTTTACAACAACAACTCATATTTGCACTTTTAATCATTTTTAAGTGCCTCTATGTGTGTTATTTGTGTATGAGCAGATATGCGCACGCCTGCGCATGAATGAAACTCATCAACCATTTCTACCGATCACCAACGCTTCTTCTTTGAGTTTATAGCAACGCTTCGAACGCGAAAAGATTAAAAATCAAATGAAAGGAAAAAAAAATAATTTAAAAAAGCTCCAGCACAACAACAACAACATAGTCGCGCATATCACACAAAGCAATAGTATGAACAGCGACTATAAATACAGTGACTTAATTAATTAAACGCACACATGGTGATTTTTGATTTTAATATTCGTCGTCTTTTTCAAGTTGAAGTATTTTATTACTTTTTTAGAAAAATATTGTACATACTTAACCAACACTTTAAAACTTAATGCAGAAGTTAGAAAAAATTCAAAAAATTTTCATAATCTGTCTTATCCTGAGTTTCGCCTGAAAAACAAAAATTCACCCGAATAATTGTCATCCGCCCATAATAAAACCATGCAAACCAAGAGTGAAAAGTGATAAGGCTGAATAATTTCGATTTTTTTTAATAAATTTTTAGAAAATTTTCTGGTTGCAGTGTTGTAGTCCATAAAATTTTAATATGAGCAAGTTTCAAGCATGTACTTATTATGGAAATTGTTGGGATTTTTCTCTAAATTTTGGATAAAGTTTAAAAGTGGAAGTTATATGGAAAATCGTGCATACTTGAAGCTTTTTTATATTAAAATTTCATGGACTACAGAACTGCTAAAATTCGCGCTGATTTTTAATAACTTTTATTTATTTTGCTGTCGGTGTTTTGAGGCGTTTATGATTTATTTTTTAGACGGTATTTTGCAGTTTCTTCTTTAAGATATCCATATTTATATTGAAAAAAAAAATGCAAAGGATCTTCAGCAAAAAAAAAAAAAAAATTGAGACATGCATTTTATTGCACTAAAATTGAATGGACTTTAAAACTGCGTACCCCAAAATTTTCAAAAAATTCACTTGAAAAAAGTTCGAAAGTTCATTGATGAAAAATTGTTAAATTTTTAAAGTTTTGAATAAAATTAGAAACTTTGATTTATACATGTGGTTCTGGTGGTGAAAATAATTTAGATTTTGTAGCTTTTTTTAAAAATAGCTTTAAAGTAACATTTTCTTAAACCTTTTTCATCTGGCATCCACATTTTTGTATTTCATTTAACCCATTGATTAAATTTTTATTTTTTTTTTTAATTTATTATTTTATATTATTTTTCTGAGCTCAATATGCTACTTAAAAGTAACGACCAATAGAAAAAACAGAAGCTTATTGATTAAGTTTGATTTGACTTTTAAACAGGTGGCAACCCCCTTTAAAAATATTTCGGAAACGAAGCTTTCTTATACCTACCTACCTCTATAAATTTACACACATACACGATTCAAGATTTCTTTCAACGTATTGAATAAAATTTTGCCTTTAAAAAGATGGCAATCCTCTTCAAACATATTTTGCGAAAAAAATCTCTCTTAAACCTACGCACTTCATTTGCATATTTCAATACTTTATTCAACTTATTAAAAAATATATATTGACTTTTGAACGGGTGGCAACCCTGTTTAAAAAATTAAAAAAAAACTTTCTTAACTTCAACTAGTTCATTAAAAGAACTTAACTTAACTTTTTAAACAGGTGGAAACCTTGCTAAAAAATATTTTCAACATAAACTTTTTTTAAATCTCGTTCATTTGTAACCACCTTTTTAAATTTCGTAGGATTAGTTGGATTAACAAAGCCATTTCAACTTGAAAACCATTGTGAATATATCAAAAAAAAACAATCGTTCACAATGTGAATGATTGTTTGAGTCACTGTATGTATTGATACAAAGCAATAAAATGCCGCGCAAATAAGGCAATGCAAGAAAAAGGTGAAAAAATTACTAAAACAAAACAAAAATACAGCAGAGGTCCAAAAAAAGTAGGAAACATTGCAAAAAAGTAAAAAAAAAAAAAAATCAAAAATTATAATGACCAAGCCACGCTTATCGGTCCCGTATATAAGCGTAAGGCCGCGCAAAATCGTCTCTCATTTGTAAATTAGCAATCCATCGATCGTGTGGCGGTTTTTTCGTGTTGATCTCTTGATTTCTTGCGGTTTTTCGTGTAACTTAATAGTACAACTACTAGCTCGCTCTGTGTTTGCTTTGTACGCTTCTATTGCTGGCAATCGAAATTGGAATTTGAGATAATACTCATACTATATATATCTACGCTTTCTTCTTGTTGTTCATTGTATTTGAGGAGAAGCATATAAGCAGCCATCACTTGCTTTTAAGCACCCTGTATTTTTGTGTATCCACAGCTAATAGCACGCTCGCTCGCTCCGACAATCGTCGACTTTTTCGAAAATTACAAAGCATACAAATATTTAAAGGCGCGATCTTCTACAAAAAAAAAAGACCTAAGAAACCTCAAAAGCGCAGCTCGCACAGTCTCAGCGAAGAAAAGCCAACGATAATTCAGTTCCGGCTAAGGTCCTGTCACAGTCACTTAAAAATCAAGAAAATTTACTAACAGACATTAATCAGCCAGCCACTTCACTTCCGCAGTNCTCTTGATTTCTTGCGGTTTTTCGTGTAACTTGATAGTACAACTACTAGCTCGCTCTGTGTTTGCGTACGCTTCCATTGCTGGCAATCGAAATTGGAATTTGAGATAATACTCATAGATACTATAAATATCGACGCTTTCTTCTTGTTGTTCATTGTATTTGAGGAGAAGCATATAAGCAGCCATCACTTGCTTTTAAGCACCCTGTATTTTTGTGTATCCACAGCTAATAGCACGCTCGCTCGCTCCGACAATCGTCGACTTTTTCGAAAATTACAAAGCATACAAATATTTAAAGGCGCGATCTTCTACAAAAAAAAAAGACCTAAGAAACCTCAAAAGCGCAGCTCGCACAGTCTCAGCGAAGAAAAGCCAACGATAATTCAGTTCCGGCTAAGGTCCTGTCACAGTCACTTAAAAATCAAGAAAATTTACTAACAGACATTAATCAGCCAGCCACTTCACTTCCGCAGTTTTACACCTCGCTCAATTAATTTGCGTCAACGATCGTTTCTCCAATCCACCTACCAGTGTACCCGTGATTTTTTACGCCCATCGCGTCGCCTGCTCGCCCACTCAACATCCAACAACTGCTGCTGCTGCTGTTGTAAACGCTACGCTCCTTAAATCACTCTGTGTGTGTATGTGTGTGTGTGCCTAACCATCCACTGATCACCCTACCTACACTCGTCCGTCGTGTACGTCCTCGCTTGCTTCATTTTGCTTACGCTTGTATTGTGTGTGCGAAATTATCCTGCTCAGGATAATTTGCTATTTTATTTTTTTGCTGCGCCAAAGAAATCTCTACTAATCAACGTCATCTGCTACAGTTTGTTATTTAGTTTCGTTTCGGAACCGGAGCTTTAAATCAACACACCTGCAATACACATTTAACGCACCCGCCTAACCGCAGCAGCAGCCCGGCTTGTGTAGCCAAAGGCAGGCAGTAAAAAAGAAGGCGCAGTTTTTTGCTGTTGCAGCAGTTTTTTGTATTCAGCAAACTGGAGAAGACGAGGTATACACCTGTTCATACATCACATCGAAAAAAAATGACGCAACAACCGGAATGGGGAATAAAATTTTCGAGGTGTAAGTATATAATTGATTGTCATTTTTTTTATATTTTTACCCGTAATTATATAAAAATTATATTTAAATATTTAGAAAGATTAAGTAATATTTTAAGGGTGTTTTAAAGTGACGTGGTACTAAAATATCGTCGAAATGTTTTAAGCGGCTTACGTTTGTATGCGAGTAGTGTGTTTTTACAAGCTTTGATTAAGTGTGGCCTGTGTATAATCAAATCTTGAAATCAATACTAGAGCTCAGTTTTTGAAGCGAAAATGCGAAAGGCAAAAATGAGCGCTTTGTTTTGCACAAAAGCGTATACAGTGTTGTTGCTTTGGCTGCGAAATTTCAAACAGTTCAGCCACAGCGTGGTCTCAAATATTCGTAGCACACAGTTTTCGCTCTTTGCATTTCATTCAGGATTAGCTGTGCGTTTGTGCGAAACTAAAAGTGCGAAATGGTGCCAAATGTTTTCGCACTTTCGCTCAAACGCCCACAGTTTTGCCTTATAGAGTGAACTCTAGTAATGTTTAGCCAGCTTCCCGATGAGCTGAGGATAGAACCTTCAAACTGAGCTCAGAAGCCGATGTCAATGCAATATAAAAGATGAATTAATCCGTTAGGTGGCGCAGGTGTCGAGATATTTCAAAAGCTCCACACAAAGAAAGAAATGAGCAATCGAAAATTCTGCCCTAACAAATACCCAGTAAACCTTTGAGTTGAGGCAGCTGGGAAAAAGTTATGGGGACAGCCATCGGCGTAGCCAGAATAAACTTTAGGGGGGATCGACCCTATTAAGCTGGCATTTCAGGGTACTATTTCATATATATATAAGGAAAATTTGAAAGTTAGGGGGGACTCGAGCACCCCCCTTCCCCTACCTGGCTACGCCCATGGGGACAGCTGATTAAAAAAAACCCCGTTGGGCTTAGAGAGGGAAAAGTAAAAGTCACAAATACGAAATTTCAGATCATTTACTCACTCCCCCTCTCCTCGTATGGTACGTTACTAATAAAAAGTGCTGGCATCGGCGCGATATCGACTAATTACTTTAGTCGCCTTTGCCGCTGAACCCATTAAAGCAAGTATTTATTTTTCAACTGTAATCAATTTTTGAAGTGTTGTGGAATATTCATGTGAAGGTATTTATCATTGATTTGGTATTTTCCTCTATTTTTCTCATCAAAAAACTGACTTTGAAATGTAGATGTTAAAGATTACTAGTAAAAAAAAGAGTGAGTACCCGTTCGTCAGGTCTTGAAATTAAACGCATGTTTTAGCGAATTTTATGTAATTTTCGAATATATACTTGGATCTTTTCGCGCGAATTTGCATATACACATATATAATTTTCAATTTTCTTAATTTTCCATTTTTCCACCAATTGAAAAATCACACCAAACATTGGGAGAAAGGGGAATATTTACACCTATGTAATTTTTTAGTAATACCTTTGTTTTCTGAGTGTGGAAAGCAGGAAATAAAAATTAACCGCAATTCCATCACATTTACTGACTGAGCCCACATTTTTTGCGAGCTTTAGACGTTATAGTGATCCAAACCCTCCCCATATTTTATATTTAGGGTTTTCTAATTAAAGAGAGAGTACAAACTAAATTTTATCGAAATCAGATGAAATTTAATGTTACCGCCCACAAGAGTGCAGGGCGTGGAAATTATCCCATATTTACCAAATTTCATAATTTTCTATTCCTAAGGATGTCAAGTTTCAGTAAAATCGGCGCAGGCTTACTATTATTTCCATATAGTCGTCAGGATTAGCCAATATTGGCCATTTAAATGCGTGGATTAAATTAATGATCTGAAAATGAAATTTTGAAGTTTGAATCAACCAGTTCTACTTAAATAGGCCATCTGAAATTGGGCCTTGGACTACAGAAAGATCTATTTGTCTTACTAAGTATGTGCCTTCCTAGTTTATTAAAGGTAATATATGCATGGTCGGGACATTCATAAAGAAAATGCTGGATACTTGATTACCTAAATCTAGTTGACAGTTGCAAAAAGTTCTATTAGAAGGAAGTCCTATTCTTGTCGCATGGTTGCTACTTTTCTGAATACCTTCCTTATCCTTGATCTGATCGTCCTGTTATAGTCAGGATAGAGTTCCCTGAATATCTTGCAAGTCTGTGCACATATCTGAACACCTGTTTCTAGCTTATTCAAGGAAATGCAGATTAATTTCTATTTGGATTATTCCAAGATATAAAAAAAATATATATATATAAAAAAATTAATGATAAAAAAATAGAAAATTAAATATATCAAAAAATTAAAAAATAAAAAAAAAACAAAGTATATTTAAAATAAAATTAAATTGTGTCACAATGTTGCATAATTCAAGTTTTGAATATTTTTTTATGAAGCGAGTATTCTACTTTTGTGTTTGCTTCCCCTTTAATTAATTAATTATGCAAGCGTCAAACTAAACTTAACGCTAAATACTAAATTACAATATAGGCAGTAAAATATAAATATTTATGAAAACATACATGTATACATATGTATATAAATATTTAAATATACACGTGTAGGTATGTAAGTATTGAAGCAGATGTGAAGCCAGTGTCGGAAAACCGGCTTCTGAAGTTGCTGTTTATGATTTTTATTTTTTTTTTTGCTTTAAAATGCATTCATAAATAAATTAAATGATAAATTATTTAAAAATAAAATTTTTACCGCTAATAGCATTGTATCGAATTGAATTTTTAATTAGTATAGAAAAGAGAAAAAACTGAAAATTAAAAAGATGGAAAGACGTCACCGAAACGTGAAATTTGCAATGCCTGGTGAACTAGAAAATATGCCTGCTACCTAAAGTTATTAAATTTTATTCTTTTTTGTATGTAATATTAAAATGCAAAATTTATTCAACTCTACATGTAATTTATTCAATAGTTAGTGCATTTTCTTAGGATCATGAAAAAATTAACGGTACTTCTAAATTTTTATATGAGATTTGAAGTCGGTTTTGTTTTTTGCATAAAAATTACTTGTTGCCTATCGTATCGTTACTAAATTTTGTGTTAAGCCCGGATCACACGTTTGCTGCATTTGTACAAATTTATACAGCTTTTTATTTTAATCTTTTGATAACACATACATACATACATATGCACAGCCGTCTGACTCGGCCTTTACCGTCTGCTCAAAAATCTGGTTTAATCAATTTGGGTTGTTAACCTTGAATATGAAATATAATCATTTCTGCAATGCAACGTTCTTAGGCTAATTCATGTTTTGATTTTCTAACTTTTGTTATTTCTTTTATTTGACTCGTATTTAATTATTTTAATTTTGTGTTATTACTAGTATAAATCTTATGTACATATGTACGCTTTTACATACATATGTATGTATATATATACAAATAGTGTACATACATAAAAATTTACCTATATTTTGCATAGAATGTTTATTCACTTGTAGTTATGTACATACAAAATTCTCATTTGTAAAAAATGCTTAGAAATGAACATTAGTGTGACTCGGTGCCCTGAGCATAAAGCCTTTCAAGGATGTAGGCTCCAGATCTGTTTACTTCTTCTTCGTATTTGGCAGTATAAGCGTTTGTCGGTTTGGACAGGGACCAAAGAGCTTCCCCCATTGCCTCTATCCTGTGGAAATTGGCGCCAGTTTCTCATCCCGAGTGCAGCAGGTCCTTCTGCAGTTGGTCCTTCCATTTTGTTCGTGGGCGCCCTTGCTTTCGTTGTCCACCCATGGGTGCGAAGTCGAAGGAGCTTTTCACCGGAGCGTCATCACCCATGCGTACAACACTTCCAAGCCAACGCAATCGCTGGCGCTTAACTATGTCCTTGTCGTTAAAAGGCTCATACAGTTCGTCATACCATCTTGTCCTATGCCAGTCGCTCTTGCAAACAGGCCCTTAGATATCTCGAAAGCACCTAATGCTTTATCATATTTGACCGGCATCATCTACGTTTCTGCGCCCTATATGTATAAGAACGGGCATGACGAGAAACTTGTAGAGTCTAATTTTTGAGAAGTTAGTTATTCCAGAGTTTGCTAGTGATAGTTACACTTCTTATACATTTAGTCCTCTAAAAGACCTAATTTAAGAGCACGTGCTGCCAGTAAACAATGCCCTGGCAGCAATTTTAGCAAAAGTCTCGGGTCTGTTCGTCTAAACCTAAGACAAAGACGATTATGACGGCGATGCCGATGACGAATACGAGGGCAATCATGAATACGCAAACGAAGGCCAAAAGGAAGAGCGAGACGAATACCAAAAACGGAAGCGATTACGAAAACGAAAAAGAGGACGGTTAAGAAGCTGAAGACGAAGATAAATACATATGAACACGCACGAAATTGAAGACGAATACGACTACGAAAAAGACGACGAAGAAATACACTGGTGGCTGAAATATTAGATTCGCCTTATTTTGACCAGTTTTGTCTATATTTCTTCGGTTTATTTAATGTTTGATAAGTTCTGATAGTTATGCAACAAACATCGCATAAATCCTCATTTCAAACTTGGTGTAGAAATTATAAAAATTCAACAAATTTTCATCAAAATTAAAACTTTTTTACTACAAATTTTTTAGTATGCAGTTTTATGGCCGCTTTCATTTTGTATAATAAAGTGCTGCAAAATACCGTTGATTTTTGGATTTTTGTTTGCAAAATTTGTTGAAATTTTATAATTTGGAAGAAGCTCGGCCAAACACAATTATCATTATTATAGCCCAATTCTGTGTCGGTGGTAAACATTTTTTTTTTGACAAATTTAAAATTTTTTACTGACAAATTTAAAATTTTTCATATATTTTTTCGTAATAAAAACTGTGACAAGAATTTGTTACTGATACGGAATAGAGCCGTTAAACATTAAATAAACCAAAGAAATACAGCTATAACTGGATAAAAAAACGCAAGTCAATTATTTCTTCCATCAGTATATGAGAAAGCGATTACGAACACGAATACGAAGTTGAATACGAAGGTAAACACGAAAACGATGAGTGCAATACATA